TTTCTTGTATGATCTTTCATTCAACCTCTTCTGGCCTTGTCAAATATATAGTATTTCCGAAATACGATATGTTTCCAACAAACTTTATTAGTTAGGCGACGTTTTTTTTCTTCTTATGCTTAACTTTAAATTAATCTGTTTATTCTTAACCCGCAATGTTGCATGTTGAAATTTTAAGATTTAGCGAATCTACACATTCAGCTTTTTCCTTCGGTGCATAATTATTTACGACCTTTATGTTTATATTTTCACTTGCCTCCTAAATATATATAATTCCATCACTAAGAACATTATTTTAGACCAATGAAGTTATGTTAAAGGATTAATGAAATGTCATCGTTCTTTTTTTTTTCCCATTTTGTGATTCATTCAAATATATACTGCAAATTAGGAAATGGGTCTAAATATTAAAAGAAACTTTTAACAATGAAATTTCGTTGTCTAATGCCGCAACCAATATACGGAATAAACACTGTTTAATAAATAAGGAGGCGTCTATTTAAATAGAGTGTATCGGCTATAATAACGTTATAAGTAATAGAAATATCGGATTAAATTCTTTAGAAATTGCTTTCTTTACGCTTCGGATATTAAACTGAAGATATAATGTGACACAATAAAGTGTCAGTGGTTGTAGTTGAGAGGAATGTAACACTATTGTGACACTGGTAGTATGAAATTAAGATTAAAAGGGTTCATGTAAAAACACTATATAGAATTGAAGTATTGGAAGGGTTGAAAATGTTATAAAGAAAAATGTTAAGATGAAAACATGAATTGAAATATGAAGCAAAGGAAAAACGAGAATTTTTCTTTTCTTTCTAATGAACAGAAACCTCGAATGGAATGTAAATCCATGTTGAATTGGAATGTTGAAAGTATAAACTGAAAGAAACAAATAAGAATTGTTATGAATATGAAAACCGGAATGTAACACAGTCTGAAAAATTCTTTCCGTTTGAAATAAGTTCGATTATCGGAAAAGATCATTGTTTTTGAATATTTAACTGTTTTGGTACTTGAAGTTCATTGGCGGCCGGGTAGATAATTTGAGTAAAGCTTGAAGAATTCGCGAAGCCTCTTTTTGTAAACATAAGCAGGATATTATTTGAGTCGTATTTGGAATCCGACAACCAAAGAAATTTATTTGCCGATTTGAAACAAATATATAAGCACAAAAGTTTGTTAACGAAAGCAATAATTGTTGGGTAAGAGGAATGTTGAAGCAAAGTCTATTGTTTTGGAATAGTTGACCGCTGTGTTGAGAGTTGGTATCATGTTTCCGGCGTTGGAGAAATTAATTAATTGATGAATACGTAATGAGCTTTGACGGGCGGTAAGAGTTCGGTGAGATGCATATAAAACGAACGTTTATTTGAATCCAGCAGTTGCAGTTGAAGCGATAAGCGACCAGAGGCCACGAGAAGCCAACAGAAGGCGCCAGATGCCGACGGTGACCGGGAGAGACAGGAAGAAGTCATTTGACCTGTTGCCGAGAGAATTTCTTGTGTTGAGTCTTGCCGACAGAATTTCCGACGACCTAAAATGTCTTGTGAATGCTTAAAACGTTCCAAGTTTTAGAAACAAGAGATAAATTGTCCCGCTAGAGAGTTTAACGAGAAGGGTTAATTTTGTTGTATCAACGATTATATAAACCAACTTAAAATTTACCCAGCGGCCTTTGTTATGCTATTTGTATTTTCACTGGCGGAAGCATTCTTCTTCTTTTTCATTGCACGGTTCCGTCAACTCGATTCAGCGACGAAGTACCGACGAAATTTCCATCCTCACTTTTCTGTGATCAAAGATCACAACGTGAGCAGCGCGAATGAAAGGACGAAGCGGTCAAAAGATAACTATCAGTTGACCGGCGGCGGTACTGAAAAGAGTGGGAAGGACCCCGGAATAGATCCGAGCCCGCCTTGTTATAATATAAAGCTTTCGAGAAAATAACTTGAGCGAAGAGGATGTGATTTCTTTATAAAGGAAAAACAAAACGTTCATTCCTGTGACGTTCTTCGTAGGCGAACGGTAAATCACACTGGATCAAACGGTGGTTACAGTCCACGATGGAGCACGCAGGTTCGATTTCTACCAGGGAATTCTTTTTTTTTTCTTTACTAAGATTTCTAGAATGCGCAGTCCGATTGACGTATTATACACTGTTTAATAAATTAATAAAAAGGACATCTATTCGAAATACGAAATATCCACTATAAGTAATTAAATTCTATGTGTGTTTGTGAAAGATTCTGGCTTATACATGTGCATTTACGTACATACGCCTATTTTGGGATATTAATGTTTTTCGCAAACATCGAACGAATTTGTGACAGTGTTGGACGAGAAAATAACGAGGTTCACTGTTTTGAATCGAAAATCAGGCTGGCATTTCCAACCGTTGTTAAACAAAATAGCTTTTAGACATAGAATCGAAAATCGAGCCGGAAATCGAAGCAAATATATACAAACAAAATATTGTTATTGCTAACATAATTATTGATTAACTCTTGTCTTGACATTTTCAAAAGTCGAAAATATAGACCTGAGGCAATTCTGTCCTCTATAGGAAAAACATTAATCATATTAACCATTACACTGTTTATATTATTCAAGCTTTTGTCTTCATCTATATTGCCATATTCACGACGTTTAGTTCGTTGTACGGTCCAACTTTCTTCAGTTAAGATACGTTAGAATTTCGAACCGAAACATTTATTTAGACGACTGCGGTAGATTGATCTAATTACGTGCCATGCCTTTGGATACCTCAGTTTTACTTTATTGACATTGATCTCAACTGTCCAAGATTTTGTTCCCTCTGCTGTGGCCATTTATTCAACTCAGAATTATTTCTTCCAGGTCACTCTCTCGAGGAATAAATAGTGTAATTCGAAATTGCAACAAATCTCACCTGAAGATGGCCAGAGCGTACAACAGCCAAGCGAAGTGAATATGGCAATAAAAAATCTAATTAGAAATAATAATAAAAATCTAAATAGTTTAAATAGTTACAATATCTCATCTCAAAAATATAGACATATATTAACCATTACTTTGAACGCCATACGAACAAAGTCTTTTGCTATATATATATATATATATATATATATATATATATATATATATCAAGTATGTGGTGCAGTTCAATTGACATTACATGAATCATTCATACAAAAAACAGATATAGAAGTTAATGAAATGATTTAAATGGCGAGAATACATCTTCGCAAACAAATTTAATAAAGTACATTAACCCCGAACCTGTATATGAATGTTATGATCCCTGTTTATAAATTCCAATTGCATAAGGTCTTTTTTAGTTTTCTTACAAGCTTTCGTCTGTTCCTACAGACATCTTCAGGTATGGAAATAGATTTTTTTTTTTGTTTTTTACTTCTCGGTAATAACAGACAAGGAAAATATAGATGTAATCCGATAAAATGTTTTTAGAAATGTGTTATTGTTAATTGTAAGAAATTTGTAAGAAATTATTTTGGAGCGCGCGGTCTCAACGCTGAGGTTGAATTTTTAAATTTGAAGATTGTGCGTTTTTGTCCTAATATGGTAACAAGAGAATTCTTTTGTACTGGTAGGTTTTTCAGTCAATGTGGCATGAACAAAATTGTTGAATAAATACAGGAATGTCACAGTTATTATCCCAAAGTTGCACGTCGGATCAGTTATTTTAATATCAAGTATGTGGTGCAGTTCAATTCACATTATGTGGACCGTTAAAGCCGATGGAAGAAGCTCTAATTTGCCATTGATACTTAGGTTTGTATGCTTCCTTTTTACACTTTCCTTCTGCTTCGATGCCATGATGAGGGCAAAAAATTCAATATATTAGACAAAAAAATAACAAATATAAAAGATATCTCACAGCTACTTTCTCCCGTACGCGCTAATTTATCGTATTTTATATACTGTAAAGTGTACACACGTATTTGTTTGGAAGTTTTTTTTTTCTTGCAGATTTTTTTTTTTTTATATTTTGCCTGCAGATTTTGTCTGTTACATTAGAAATCCGTTGATGGGGTCCGTAGATGAGAGGTTTGTTTGTATGCATGAACTTTAAGTATTCTGTTAAATATATTGTTTTATTGTTTTACCTGAAAAATGTTCAGTTTGTTTCTCTTGGTGTCTGAAGGCGCGTTTCCTAAATAAATTTACGTTTTATTCGTTGGGCATTATTTTTATTGTTCTGTTTCTCTATACGGAACTGAATAGTCAGACAAATTCTTTTCAAGTTCGATTTGATTGAAAAAAAAAAGAGTACAAAACAAGAAAAAAGGCGGAAAAAAACTAATAATTAAATAAAAAAAAAACTTCTTATAGTGATATATTTGTCAGATAAGACATTCCAATCAGCGAGGGTCTTTCTTTATTTTTTCCAATGATTTCAAACCACATAAGATTAGGCGAATCTAAATAAACATATACATATATAATTCAAGAGAGGCAAAGGCAATAGAGAAATATAATGGCAGAAATAAATTGGAATACGAAGAATAAAAAATAAAATGAGAAATTTGAAATAGGACAGAGAAAATATGAGAAGACATTGAAAAAAAAGTAAAAAGAAAGACGAAGAAAAAATGGTGAAAAAATGGTGAAATGTTCTAGGATTAGAAAAGAGAAACACAATTCGAGAAAGAAAGTGTGCGTGCGTGTGCGTGTGTGTGTGTGTGTGTGGCGAATTAAGCTATGGGAAAACATTTTTGATATGTGTATAGAAGAGAATTTTAACGTTGGAAAATGTGACAAAGGAGAAGGAAGTGAAGTAAAAGGTAACTGCTTTTAGTTACATTATATATTAATATACATTTTTCAGTAGATAAATATATAGCAGAAAAGATATTTAGAGACTTCAGGCAAGCGATCGATGAAGAAAGAATGAAACAAAGGAAGGAAGGAAGGAAAGAAAGACAGAATAAACAAAGAAGGAAAGAAAAGAGGAGAATGAAACAAAAAAAGGTAGTACACATAAAGTAAGGCAATCAAAAAAGGAGATAGACGCAAAACGAAAGAAAGAAATCAAGAAGCATGAAAAAGCGCAAGGAGCCAACAGGGAAGAAAGAAGAAAGCGAAGAGAAAGAAAGAAAGAAGGGAGAAAGAGGGGTAGAAAAAAGAGTGGAAGAAAGAAAGATTAAAAGAAAGGATGAAAGAAAGAACGAATAAAAGAAAGGATGAAAGAAAGAAAGGATAAAGGAAGGATCAAAGAAAGAAGAAAAGAGGGGAGAAAGAAAGAAATAAGTGGTGAAAGAAAGAAAGAAAGAAAGAAAGGGTGAAAGAAAGAAAGAAAGAAAGAAAGTGTGAAAGAAAGAAAAGGAGAAAGAAAAGATGAAAAAAAGAAAAGATGAAAGAAAGAAAGAAAGAGAGAGAGAGAGAAAGAACGAACACAGGAAGGAAACAATGACGAAAATTAGAAAGGAAACATTCAAGGAGGAAAGAATGAAGGTAGACTGAAAGAAAAAAAAACATGCAAGCAAGAAAGTATCAAGAATCTTAGAAAAGGAGAAAGTGCGCAAGCAACAACAAGAAGGAAATAAAACAAAGAAGGAAAAAAGAAAAGGAGAAAGCTAGCATGAAAAAGCAGAAGAAAATAAAGGAAGAAAGAAAGCAGGCAAGAAATATACAATAGCAAACACGATAAAGCAAGAAAAAAGAAAGAAAGAAAGACAGAAAGAAAGAAAGAAAGAAAGCCAGAAAGAAAGAAAGAAAGAAAGAAAGAAAGAAAGACAGACAGAAAGAAAGACAGACAGACAGACAGAAAGAAAGACAGAAATAAATAAAGAAACCGAAAAAGCGAAAGAACGGATGTAAAAAAGCAAAAAAAAAAAAAAAAACATAAAGAAGAAAGCAATCGAAGAAGAAAAAGTAAATGAAAGGAAAGATAAAGAAACAAGAAAGGGACAAAAATAAATAAAAGAAAGTTTAAAAACAGTAAAGCAAGGTTATTGGTCTTGGACTATAACCAAATTCATAAAAAAAGAAAGAAGAAATTTGATGCAAAAATGACCAGAAAGACAAACTTCTTCAGCTTCTTTCGCTGCTTCACTCTATGACATTCCTCAAATGACTGCCTCATTTGATAACTTTTCAAGAACTTTCAACAGCGTATTTTCTTTGATCCAATCAGGTATCTTTTCCCCATTTTTTACACCTGCCACGTTCAGTATTCCTCTGAGTAAATTCCGGAACTTGTATCTGTCATTTACATTTAGTGAAGCTAATCTGTCTCTCCCTTAAGCCTATGCATATATTCATCCGCTGCGTGACCCAGGGATTGAACTCACCACATCCAGAGAACAAGATGAACATTACGAATGGAAATTCCCTACTGATTGCATCCTGCCACGTTTATAGGATAGACGCAACAAGAACGCACCTGACGAAATACTTCTGCATTGTGAAAAGATTTGATCTGCATACCATACATGTAACACTTCTTACGAAATGTTTTTACTAAAAAGAATTAAACACAAAGGTCACTTTATTGTATATAATACGAGTGAAAATAAGTGATATATTTTAGGAATAAATAATTGTTAACACCGACGAGGAGATTCAAACTATATATATATATATATATATATATATATATATATTAAATCGGTGTCACCCCAAGCAAGGCAGTAAAGCCACTAACACGCAAAGGGTTATAAAGCGTGCAGGATTTAGTGGCAGAAACAATAGTAATGAAGAGAAAGCAAAGAGCAATCAGGAGGACAGTAAATAGCGATTGACACTGCATTTAAATTTTTGCAGATTAAATTTGTTTGGAGAGCATGCAGTCGGCAGTGTGTTACAAAAGCGAGAAGTGCGGGATAAACTGTTAGCATAGAATTTAGGGCTACGTGTATCAAGATCATACTTAAATTGATGATTCTCGCCACCAGTCTAGCATTGCGCTTAAATTCATAGCGTCTAGGTACCCTAGCGAAGAGATCATCTGAACAATAAACCTGAAATTATTTATAAAAAATGATAGGCAACCTTAGGGCGATGGGCAAGTGACTAAAACTGAGCCACGTAGTTAGGACCAATAATATTGTTGATTCTTCCGGACCATATATGGTAGCACTAGTCTAAGCATGGACGAATGGTAGACTTATAGATATGTAAGATAGTTTCCGGAGATAAAAATTGTCTTACTCGACACAGTGAACCGACTTTCTTAGCAGCTGATCTGGTGATGGTTTCTATGCAGTCTTTTCACAACATGCTAGCTGAGAAACTTTAGCCCGAGAAGGCGCAATGTCATTTTCTCGGAGAATAGCATCACACAGGCTGATGGAAGTCATATATATATATATATATATATATATATATATATATATATATATATATATATATAGATAGATAGATAGATAACTTTCTTTTCAATTCAATTTATTCTAGCGTTTCGTTTTTTTATGGATTTGCAAAGAGAAGAAAGAATTCAATAAGCTTAAAAAATAAGCAATACATAATTTTATATTTGTTGTAAAAGATAAAAGCATTTATGTCCGAACTTATATAAATGAACGTTCCTTTCTTGATAGAAAAAAAATTAGTGAGAGCATGAAAAAAAATCTTAAAGAACGCAAAAAGTGTCTAAAAGTTTTATAAAAACCTTCGGCCTTTGAGCTCAGTAATATATTTTATATTAAGTTTGTCTTTGTGTTTAACATGTGCCTATAATAAAAGGACGCAATAGAACTTTCTCAGGACACAGATGTTTCTTCTGACGTTGTCTGTCATTGACAAAGCCAAGATCCCTGTCGACAGAGAAATGTTCTTTCAAAAGGACGTTTTTTTGAAATAATTGTCTAGATCAAGGCATTCATTTCTTCTTCTACTACTACTACTACTACTACTACTAATAATAATAATAATAATAATCGACTAATTCAATAACAACCTTCTTGACAATTATTATTCTACTATTATTAAAACTACTACGACTATTACTGATGTTTTCACTATGGTTTAGCTTACGGCTATATTACGTTAAGCAACATCAAGCCAAGCCAGTAACTAAATGGGTGGCCGGTTAAGAATACCAGGTGCTGTAATCTTGGAGAGCCAACTTTCAATTCTATTTGGGTTCGTTGTATTCACTTACACGCAAAAATCAATCCTTCATTCAATCAATTCAGCTTGGTTTATTGCTGATGATTAATTGTCTTGGGTATAACGTTAAACTATAACCGGCAGCAAGGCCTCTGATCGGGAGATTGAAGTTTTCGAGGAGCGTAGAACCACCTCTTAATTGCTCTTCCCAGGTCTACCCTGAGCTGGGGTGGCAGCACCTGTTAGGCTCACAGCTATTGGCAAATAGTGAAGTCCAAGACAAAACTATAAAAGTATAAAAATTCATTATTATAGTAAAATTGCAAACAAAACCTATTTATAGTATTATCAATAATAAATTTTATAGCAAAATAACCAACAATACATTTTATCTGTAGTTGAAGTCATGCAATTGCGTTCAAAATATAAAGCTGAATCCATGAAAAATGATGTATATTAAATAACGCATCGAGATTGCTATGCTGCTATGCAAAATCAATCACAACCTGATGATTAAATCACGCTCAGATTGTCGTTCAATCAATTAGGTTAAGCGCCACTGAGCTTCGTCATTACGTAAATGTGAACCATTTGGAAATACCGAGTATTTCAAATTATATAGGAGTAAACTCCGATAAAAAAAAAGGCTCGTCATCGCATTGTGTGGAGGTGGTAAAAGATGGTTGTATGTTGCTTCGGATTGCATTTTACATCTGCTTGTCAGAGGAGCGTCGCTATTAGCGGCAAGGAGATACTGTTTCTAAATGAGGTACTGCAAAATTAAACCGTAGTTGCAACCGATAATTGTACGAAATAAGATAGCAACTGGAAATCAATATGATTATTGAATCTAACTTTTAATCTTCATAGAAAATCATTTTTGGCTGGTCGTTGCTAACTTCCAGGAGAGTATCTAATTGTGTCTATTTGGTTTCACGTTTTTCATTGTCATGGAATGGTGGAATCATATTGAATCAATTTCCAGGTCAGTATGCATTCATTAAGACAAACTACATCACAGCGTAGACAGATACTAAATTAATGGTCGGAATTTTCTATGCGGTTCAAGGAGGTGTCTGATTCCTGACATTGTCTATTTTTACAAGCGTCAGATCAGACCCAAAAAGATGTTTTGCTGCCCTAACTGGGCTGGATTTTCCCAATGACAATTTCTAGCCTTGACATATAGATAAACAAACCCATATCCAACATTCTAGTTATGTTTAGGTTTACCGATTTTTTCGGCTTTCAGTGATTCAAACTATACGGCACCAAAAACTTAGGAATACACACACCATGAGGAATAAAAAAGGACTTCACATATTATTGCTGTTTGATTATAGAGTAATGGACTGATGAATGAAAGAGAGACATAATTAAAACCATAAATAATGAATCAATGTCATTTCTTTTTAAAAAAATGCCTTTTATAAATTATAACTCTTCCATAGTCCACCCTGAACCGGGAACGAATCATCCCAATTCCCTTTGTATTCCGTTAGTAAGAAGAACATACCCCTCAAACTGCTTCGTGGAATAAAATCTCTAGGCGGGTGCTTCCCCGATCACTATAATCTTAACATCTTTAAGTGAAGGATTGACTGATATATTTCCTACATTCTTCCTTCACGCACGTACATCAAGCTCAGTCAGTAACTATTTAACTTGAGTGGCTCATGAGCCTTGTCTTAGACAAACCATTATTGAAAATAAAAAAAAAACCGACGTCTTTTATTTAATATTCTATATTTTGTGGTATAAGATGACAAATGCTATGAAGAATATTCATTTGAATTCTGTTTTTGTTTATTTACAGGTAAGTGGAAAAGATGTTGCTTTCCAAAAGAGTTATCAATTTAGTATCGGCAGGATAATCAGGTAACACTTTACATTTATATCTGTTCATGTTTACGTATGATCGAATGATTATATATATATATATATATATATATATATATATATATATATATATATACAGGTGAAATGAGAACAAATAGTTTAATTCTACTGTCCGTAAAGTTTAATTTAAAAGAGGTCTTAATACAGAGAAGAGCTAAATATTATTTATTTTAGGATATTAAAACAAAAACATGTTAAGAATCGCTACACAACTGCAATTAAAAATGTGTTTCCTCGGCCCATGGTGACACATTTGTAGTGTTGAAACATGATTGCAATAGCGATTCTTAACATATTTTTGTTTTAATATCCTAAAATGAATAAAATTATATTGTATATATATATATATATATATATATATATATATATATATATATATATATATATGTCTATTTGGCCAGCAATCCTCTTTTGTACAATTTTCGTTAAAAAACGACTGACAAAGTACTGCGGTTAATTTGTTAAAAATTTTTCTTGTGTTCAATTTTTTACATACTTTATGCCCAGAAAATAAAAAAAAAATGATGAGAACACAAGAGAAATTAAATAAAAACTTAATGTCAGCAACTTGTCACCCGTTTTTAACGAAGCTTTTATATATATATATATATATATATATATATATATATATATATATATATATATATATATATATATATATATATATAGTTTTCTGCAGCAAGTTTTACAGAATGGAGTTGATATCCCAACACCGAACCGGTTTTGAATTCAGAGATCTTCTTCTCCTAGACTGGTTGCCAACCAAATATAAAAAACCCATCTGCCTGCTATTAACCCCTAGCTGAAGGAAAACAGATGCATTACTAATTTTCCAAGGGGATTTGTACGAAAGAATTTGAATTAAACATGCCAGTCCTACGTTACACTGTGGAAACAGCTGCTCTACGAGCACATCAATATGATTATAATAAATAGAGCATATTTATACTACAAGTATTACTATGAATATAGATGTATATAATGCGTTCATAAGGAAGAAGGTTGTGTTGAAAAAACGAATATTTGTTGCGTTAAAATAATTTTTTTCATTAATCTACGCTGGGGTTTTCAAACATTTTCTTCCGGCGTATGCTTTTCGTTCTGTTCGACTGTACTGGCGTAACCTTTAAGAAGAATATCGTATAAAATGAATGGCTAGCATAGAATAGATAATAGATAATAATTTTATTCAATACATTGTTACACATGTAATAAGATGGATGGGCTTGGCCCTTTCAAAGACGGAAAATCAATTCTGGGAACCGTTTCAGATGGACTCCCACGTTTATCATCTTCAATGAAATTTGATTTGGTCAGACGAAGAGCTGAAGAAACGTGTTCACAACGATAAGTGTGGGGGGGGACATCAATTTTCAAACTGTTTGCACCCATATGCCTCAACATGTCCTCCATATTCGGTATTCCATCTCCTAAAACAGTGTACAGGGATGAGAATGTGTAGAGTGGGTCGAGATTTTCTTTTTCTGCCAGGCAAAAGTGCAAAGAACGTAAACAATGAATTTCTATTGCGTACCTACAGGGGTACATGCACCTCCGTTTGGAAGCACCTGGTCTGCAGACTTATGAAGTGCCTACATATGAACACACGCGCAAACACACATATTATTATTTTTGTTGTTGTTAGAACGTTCCCGGCCCGAGCATGAGACTCGGGTTCGAATTTCATAATGGTCGACTTTTCAGTGGCGACATCTTGATAATACCCGTACTAGGAGACGATCGCAGCCTGCGGCACCGTTGTAAAATGATGTCTTGGGTGGATTCAGAGCTTTGTAAGTGAAATTGTTCGAAATCCGCTGATGGTTGTGCTAGCTCAAAGATAAAAGTCATCGTGACCGTGGGCTCGAGTGTACTTACATTGTTTTTTATACACTCTTTCTCACAAAATGTAACTAAGGTCCTTTGTGTATAGTTAGAGTATAAATGACAAGTTAGCTCTCGGAGTGTTGAACAGACATACAAGTGCCTTAGCAACAGCGAATAACCAGTTAACCTAGCAGACTGTCATATTTGGACTCTAGCTGGCAGCCATAAGATATTTCTGACTATTTAGCGACTACAAGCAAAGCTGTCTTTAAGGTTAAAATATATTTTATATACCAAAGTATATAATTTATAAGGCAAGAACTTATACCAAAATATATAGCAATATTTTTTAGTACAATTTAGGAATTGCAGACCTCCAAATTCAGCTCGGCTATCGGACAAGATGAGGGGATCTCCATCAGAAAACTTCTGATCTCAAAAGATTAACGCCATCGTTGTAAAATCTTGTCTTAAAGGGTGTGGTCGTTAACGTCGTCAGCTACTTGAAAAACTTTACAAGTGCAGGCCTAAGTGTTATTCCGCTTCTCCTGCATGTGGTGCCGTTTGCGATGTAAAGCCATGTATATATATACAGGGTGTGTCAAAAATACTTTTACTAACTTTGGGGCGGTTTCCTCACACCAAAAACAAAGATGCAAGAGGTTACTTGGAGTGAAATAGAATGAGAAGTCTTTCGTGAAGAGAAATGACAATAACAGAACTAGTTGCAGGAAGATGGGAGATAACGGTTTACATTTTTGAAAATAGTAGGTTGCAGTGGAAGTAATAAATCGGAAAGGAGTTCCACAGTCTTTCGATGAAAAGATTGAGTAAAGAAATTCTTAGAATAGAACATACAATTGCATCTCTCTAGTTCAACAGTAAAACGATTAGTTGCCAATCTAGAAGGATTCTTAAGTTCATGCCGTCGGGGCACCAAGGTGGAAACTTCATTCGTACAATTTCCACGGAGATATTTGTAGAAAAGTCCAAAGGAAGTTACGTCACGTCGCGGAGAAAGTGACTAAATTTGAGATGACAGGTAATGATTCTTTGAATGTTATCTCGAGATATATAGTAGGAACTTCAAACAAGATATGGCAGCAATATTCAATGCACAGACAAATGGTAGATTTATAAATGTGCAAGATGGATTCTGACGAGGAAAAAAAAATGTTTTTAACCATTGCTTAACTGTGCTCAAATCTATTGTTTGCTATTCATGAACGTTCCGCAAAAAATTGATTAATATTAACGTTTTCGATATTTTCCACGTGGATGAATTGATTCGCTAACATATGTTTACTTCTTACGGACTCTTATGTCAGATGGGATGTGGGGGGGTATAGCTACTCGGAATGAAAAATTGGGGAGCTGAGTTCGAATTCCAGTCAGGTTTGTTACATGCACCTAAACTCAAATCCTAAAAATCTAAAAATGTGTAAAGAAAAGAACTCTACATTATGTAGGACGCTAAGTAATGCAAATTGTAGGCCAATTAAACGAAAGTGAGTTTATGTTGATGTAATTATTAATTAATTTTTATATATGTAATTACTATGTATTTACTTTTATGCCTTTTTATTTTATTTTATCTATTCATATATTCATTTATATTTTTTATATATCATTTATATTTTTAATTACCAATTTTTAAAAAAATTTTTAAAGCTTATAGTTTAGCAGTTTTCTTTTAATTAAATTTTTGAAAATTTGGCCGTGCATAAGTATTTTAGCTTGAAAAAGATTTGCTCCAAGGCGTAAATTAATATATTGGCAAGAATCGATAATTGCAAGAATCGATAATTGCATTTTCGAGAAATTTTCTTTTTCAAATATCTCCTTAAATGATATGCTCCTTTCTCAAGCCAACATACTTATACATGAATTTAAGGTTATACGAGTGAAATAAGAAACGCCATTTTATTGATTTAAAGCACATTCCTAAGGAATATGATTCGTTATCGTATACTGGTTCTTTACTATAGGAAATAACAGAGAAAATTGTAATTCAGTTGGTGAGTTCTCGGATCGGCAAGCTGTCAAAGACAACAGGCATCGTTGGAACGGTTGATAACTAAATAGTTCCAAGTATTCAAAACAGACTTTATGTGGGAAAAGAGTTGCCAGTTCCATTCTAACAAAAATTGCAATTTTTAAATTAATTTTACAAATGGTTTTATAATGACAGACAGTGTGCTTTCGATGAAAAGCAACTGAAATTAAGATTTCAAAAAAGGCCTAGTCAAAGATGTAAATATCATTTTACTGTCCTGTGATCAACGTTATTAAAATCTGCCACTCAGTGTCGCTTTCTGGTTCTTTTAAATACAAAAGAACGCTGAACACCGTATTTTGGTTGATGCAATCTCTAATCGGCATCATGACAACGTCAACAGGTGTCCATGGAATAGCTGCAACCGAAGTAATTCTAAGACTTGAAGTCAGAACAAGTGAAGAGTGTATCAGCATCAATATGAACAATACTGCCTTCATTTGTTGAATAATACTCTTCGCACTGAAAGGCTGACAAAGGACTGTCCGTTCCCACCAAGGCAAAACTCATCAACATCGGATACAATACGAGAGAAGATAAACAGCAGGAATTGTAAATTTTCCTTCTGCGTTCATCATGTACATAGATTAATAAGCGGCGCGCGCACACTCGAAACCAGGGTCACGCCACTCTCTCTCTCTGTTTTCTCGCTCTCTCTCTGTTTTCTCTCTCTCTCTCTGTTTTCTCTCTCTCTCTTCTCTCTCTCTCTGTTTCTCTCTCTCTCTCTTTTTTCTCTATCTCTCATCTATTTAC